TTTTATCTTTTTAAAAATAGCATTTTAATAATTAGTCTCAAGGGACATGTCTTTCTTAGCATACCGGCCATTGTATTTTACCTTTTCTTTCCTTTTAAAACAGATTTATTTGAAAATGTTTATGCATCTACAATGAAGAGAAGAGAACTTGAAAATCTGAAGGATAATATTGGATTCAGAGGTCATCAGCCACTTAACAGCATCACCGTGTCAAAGAAACGCAATTGGCTATATCAGAGTACTCTGAGACCTTTTAATTTGGAAGAAGAAAATAAGAAGTGCCAAGATGTAAGTCATTTATCAATCTCACCTGTTTCTCTGCCTAAACATCAGCTATCACAACATTTCCTCAAACCATCAGAAGAATATTGTACGTGTGTGGTGTGTAATGCTACAGATTCTTCATTATCAAGAAACTGTTCTTTAGACTTTAATGAGGAAAATGATGCAGATGATGAAGGGGAAATATGGTACAACCCCATTCCTGAGGACGATGACTTTGGGATATCAAATGCTTTGAGTTTTGCTGAGGCAAACGCTGCTGTTCTGAAGTTTCCTGCTATCAGTTTGAGAGTGTTGTCTAGCCGTGACCTAATGAAAGCAGAGCAGCATCCTGAAGACTTGCTGTGCTCTTCTGAGCACACAGGCAATGTTCAGAGCACACAGTCAAATGACATGAATCCTGTAGATTCTGTCTGTTCCACAGAGTTTGTGCAACAGTACAAGCAAAGGGTTGGACACAAGACACAAGAGGGTATAATGGTGGAGGAGAGTCCCATGTTGAAATCTCCTTTTACAGGTAAGGATGATCATCTAGCTGCCTTTTCTTTCTTCTTCCATTTTTTCAATTCTTTGGCAGTAGCTGAAACTAAATATAGATGTCTGGTGTAGCCAGGTGCTTTTCTTTGCAAAGTGAATGCATTTTCATGAAAATAAACTCAAAAAGGTTTATATACATTTTTATATACATGGTGGTTGATTATTTTGATCAGACTTGGTTTTGTAACCTGATGTGCTTTAATGTGTCGATCTTTTGAGACAGTAATTATTTTTCTCTTAGTTGGAAGAAAGGAATCATGGGGAGTCAA